TATAGCTGAAAGCAGTTCAGCGTGTCCTGCCAATAATGAGTTTCTGCAATTTAGAGCGTGCCTTCTCGAATGCTGCAGAGGGAGTACTGCCGCGCTGGAGCAGACAAGAGCCTGGGAATGGTCAAAGGATGTTGTACGCCTAAGACCCATCCCAAACAGTAAACTTTGTAGCACACAAATCACCAAATATAAGTTACAGAGTGGTGGCCGAACTGAGACATGTGCCCATCAGAGCTTCTCTGGAAACCGGGCAGAGCTGGGAACAAGGGACATAATTGAAAGCAACTTGCAAATAGCTTTACTCCCAGCGTGAAGCAGGTGCAGCAGCCAGTTGGTTGTGCTGAGCACATGTCACAGAGCAGGCACAAAGATTTACCATGACTCTCTGTAGTTCTGTCTAGTTTTAAGAGGATATTTAAAAATTGGAATGATAATGACCTGAAAAAACATGACTTTACACCAGAAAATAAAATTGCAAGCATTCATTATCAAAGGCATACTGGCAAAGAAGTGTTAGAGAACAAGAATGCCTGATGGTGCAATGTTTTTCATCCTGCAACTGAGCACAGAAAACCTTTTCATATGCCCTAAATCTGCAGCTACAATAAAGCCTTCATACAGACAATCTGCTTAAACATAACGTCACACTTGCCTTTATTTTAATTGCAAAACATTATCCAGTTTCACTGCTAAAATATGCACTTCTTAAGGCAATATGCGTAACTTTATATTATCCTCCATTTTACTTGACGTCAATATCTCTGCAGTGATGAAATTATAAGCTGCTGAAGTGGACCATCTATGACGCAGCCATTTCTCTTTTATGCGGGGGAACACCCTCTCCTCATTGTCTTCCTATCAAGACTTATACAATTAAAAAAATCCCTCTTTTCTCCAAATCTTCTGACTGGAATAGTCGGCATCCCTGTCTCTTCATCACTTAAAAATGTGAGCCTGTACCGCCGAAATGAGTAAGAATTTTGCAACTGTCTTTAAGGCAAGATGGAGTCCTAGGATTCCAGATATTTTAGATAACTATTGGTATTAACCCAGTACTTAGCCCCAAACAACAACAGTGCCTAACTCTTAGTACTTTTATTTGGAGATCTTCCAGGGACTTACAAGTGGGGGTCAGCATGATCATCCCCATTTCCAAGGTGGGAAAAATGGGGCACAAAGTGAAGAAAAGGGACACTTCTATCACTGGGAAGAGAAGTGAGGTCTCGTGAATCTTTGTCTGTTCACTGAGTACTGAATCTCCCTAGCCTGATAGTCTGTGACTATTCATACTGTGTGTAATTAAAGGTACACGAATGGTGGCGGTGTCTAGGAATCTGTCTGGCGACGGCTTGGTTGTTCTCCAGGCTGTACAGGGGTGTTACAGCATTTTTTTACCTCTTAGTGATAAAAGCCATAGGTCAAATATTGGATTTTGAAATTTGGAAGTTTGTAGCATCAAGAGGAAAACAGTAAAAAACGAGGTTATTGTGTCAGCCTCACTTTTTCCTCTTTCCCCAGCAAGTGTATTACAAATTGTAGGAATTTGTCTTACAATATAAAAGTTGCACTGCCATGTGAACTGATTACTGCAGCCTGTATTTGCAGATGTAACATTGTTAGGAGCAACTGTTATTGTTCACTAGCAATGGAGACATGCTTTGAAATGTAGAAAATACTGGGTCTGCGTTGTATTTCCTGATAAATTCCCATTTCCCTGCCACTATGACGGAAGGAAAGCTGAGATTTGATGAATTAAATTGAGACTCATTGTGAAACAGAGCAACAGCATTGAAGAGCTGCCAGATTTCAGCGAAGGTGAAGAAGAAAGAAATAGACACTTCTGAATAAACTGTCTTCCCCACTTCGAAAACAAAGCACCATCTTGAAAATTATCTTCTCAGGTGAGAATCCATCCTTCGTGGTACAGGAGACAGGCTGCACAGCGGAGACAATTGATAGATGTTAAAAGACAAACCACCAAAAGACAAATATGTCTTCAGAAAACAGTTGGAAGTAATATTTTAAAGACTGGCCACACATCATATTCACACAGATGCCAACAGGAAGCACAGTTCAGGAACAGAAAAGCTTTCAGATAATCTCCACCCATTAAGAAGCCAAAACCTCAACATCACTAGCACATCTTAACTCATTTTCAGAGGTCACCTCTCTAGCATTTGATGCCATACCGTGTATATGTTTCATACTTCAGCAAAGAGTTTTATCAAGAAGTTTATTCACTAAAATGTACAAAAAATATAAAAAAGCTCACTACTATTAATATTTCACATCTCACATGCTTATCATATCCAGGTGACAGTGGACTAAAGTGGTAATTTTGAAAAATGCTCAGCATTAGTTGAACTGGTCTGCTGAAGTCAGTAGTGAAACTGTTCACTGTCAGTGTGCATAGAGCGACGTGGCTGTTTCAGCAGACCTGCATCTCTAACTAGACTAGAAATTAGGTCATTTTTTTAAGGATTACAAGTCATGGTCAGAGACCCTAGCAAGCGTTTCTCCTCTAGGTCTTCCAGCTGTAGTCTGCTGCTGGTAGCCATCAACAATAATGGTTGCAATTTAACCAGGTTGGAAAAAAACACGTTACATGGTGACAGTATGTAAATGTGTTTTGGTATAGTGTTTGTAAGAAGAAAATGCTGGGGGGGGGGGGGGCAAAAGATTTTCTTCTTTCCTCTTCTGGCCTTGAAAAAGGACTCTCACTGTGTTGTAAAACCTATCCTTATTTGGATACTTTTCTATCATTTTACTGAGAAAACCCAACAATACCTGAAGTTGAGATCTGTCACCTGTGTTTGGGTCCTGGAAAGAAACACCTGGATCTGAAACCTTAGCAGCAGATGCCGCTAGCTGAGTATTTACTGGCTTAAAACCTCTCATAAAAGCACTAAAAAAAACCAACCAAAAAAACCCACAGAAAAACAAGAAACAAAAAAAGGGGGGGAAGAAATTAATCAGTCCAGTCAACTATACAAAGTTGAGGAGCAGAGAAATGAAGTTTCACAAAGAAGGTTAACAAATGTGCATGGTCAGGTTTCCTAAAATCCCACATCTGTACCAGATTTTTTCAGCGTAAATGGTGGTTTCTGTCTCTGGCGGGACTTCAGCTGAAGAGCAGGCTAGATCCGAAAAGCAACTCTGTAAAATGAAATGACATCATGAGAGCCCACTGCGATAGGGCTGGGTCTGTTGCTGATATACCGCTTGATTCCTCAGTTTCGCAGAGCTTGTGAGGAATTGCAGCACCAGGAAATGTGGCCGGCTGAGCTTTGGTTTCTTTATCTCAGGTGCACTGCTGCACAGCTGTAGGGGTGGGAAGGGGACAAGGGTGTTATGCCTGCTGCAATGACTCATTTATGGAGCTGGAAGTCTGAGCAGGCACATCTTGGTGTGTTTGCACTCCACGGACCAAGTGCTGCATTCGTCATACTTAAATACACCTGTCTCTAATGCTCTCTATCACGATAAAGATGCTTCTCAGCTTGTGACCTCAGGTGTGCTGATGCTAGAGACACAGTGGGAGCAGGCCTAAAGGCAGTGGGCTCTGCAGAGGGGTATTGAGTCGGTGGTTGTGCTGATGAGGCATGAGCCATAACTGGACCTTCATGGATGACACTTTGAGGGCCTTATTCAGCAGGGCACTGGCTGAAAGGGAGTCAGATCCACCCTAGGGAGAAATCTCCATATGGGGCAGGCAGAATGGGGAAGGTGCTGGGCCATAGCTGAGGTCATGGTGTGGGTGCCATTGCATTCAGGGAACATGTTGTAAGTGCTTTGGTGCTAACTTTTGGGACCTCATGGAAACAGATGGGAAGGTAGAGTAACTGCCCCAGCAGCTCCCGGTCTAAATAAATCGAGAGATGACAAACTAGAAGAGGAAATGCGTTTTATGGCCAAGATTACAGAAGACTCCGAGAGCCTAGTTATATTTAAAATCTGAGAGGGGCAAACGTACAAGACCCTCTTCATATCAGATCAGAGTAGACGGAGGCCTTCAGAACAACCACAACCATGCTTCTCCCTTACAAGTCTCATCATCCTAACACAGAAAGCTCCTGGAGATAACGTGAAGCTGGCCATACAGTACTGCCTCTGCTCCAGGCACAGGGAGTAAGCGTTGAGGCAAGAAATTACTTTTTCTTGGCATGACCCACTACAGATTGAACTGGAATGGCAATTAGAAGTTGAAGTGCTCATTTAATGACAGTGATGTGTAAACTATGTTGCCATTGTTATTTTAGTGCCGATTTGCATAATTGGCATACCCTGAAGTCACACTGCACGCACTTTCAGTTCATGCTAAAGACTTGCAGGAAGTCATAAAATTAAACATTATCTGCACTGGAATGCAACGGAAGAGTAACTAAACTTTTGAAGGATTTCACCTCGCTCTGCGTCTCCTCTCCTGCCGAATGTGCGGCGGCGAGCGAAAATCAGGTTAAGAGGTGTTGGGAGCTGTTGGTATGAGGGAGCTTTACCAGCTCTTTAATTATACTGGTGTAGGTCTGAGGTGGTTTGTTATGCTGGTATGTGACTCCCCGTGTGAGCACCTCATCCTGCAGCGACATTTCGCCCGTATAGCTGAAGTCGCTCTAATGTGATAGGAAAACCAAGAGAAGAACGTCCACGGGAGGAATTATTCCAGTCCAAATGTGTTGAATTCCTGCCTCAAATCGGTGGTTTTCCTACTTTTAAAAGTCCTAAAATGGAGGGAAAAGGCCGCTCCCAAAGGAGGAGCTGGTAATGGAGCTGTCTCGGTTGTTATTGCTTTAAATCCTCCTCCGCAGTAATTCAAGGTGTCAAAGGCTGTCTGTGTCTTTTGCAAATGAAGCCCCTGAGAGGCATTCGGAAGAGGAGGCACAGCTCAGGGCACTCACCTTGCCGGGAAGGAGCCTGGGCTAGCACCGGGACCCTGGTTAATGACGGTGCGCCGATGGCTTCGGCTTTGATGAGGACCCTAAATTGCTAGGTATCGCATACCTATGCGAGAACGGCCAGGCCCTACCGCAGAGCCCGAGCAGACAGACAAGAGACAGGGCAAAGGATGCGACTCTATCGACCAGTCGCTAAATCGCGTTGGGATTACATTTGCCAGTATAGGCAAAGGGATAGAGGGATGTAGCTCGGAGGGGGGAGCCTGGTCCCACGGGGCACGGTCCTGCCCTCTTCACCCCGCCACCGCTGTCCCCCCT